TTTTTGAGATAGTCGATTTTGCTCGTAGAGCACTACAATTATCCGATTGCTTTACCTTTAGGGTGGTGGAGGATTACAGATGGAAGCCACCTTTTATACACAACCCTAAAACCCAATTTCGATCTTATTAAAGTAAATTAAGCTTTGGTTCCATAGGTTACCTCACGCCTAGTGCTCTGTTGAAGAGTTGTGGGTGGAATAGAATTAGGAGCCTAATGCAGATGCCAAACAATTTTATATTAATTCAGCGCGTAACGAAGTTGTGTTTTTACTCTTTATGCTCAACTATATTAGTAATTTTTCTATATTTGTCCACTTTTACTGACTACTCGCTAATTGGAGCATTTGAAATGGTTTAAAAAAACAGGTTTCTTTCATAAGAAGTGCACTGAGAAGTCAAATTTAAAACTAACTTTCAAACAAAACCTAAAAAAAAACATCTTGATTTCGATAAAGAGTTGAATAAATTTGTACAAAAGCAATTCCACCGGTTTCTTAATAGAAGCTTTATTTTAATACCAGTTCACTTTTAGATTAAATCATAGTTTATTGCATGAGGCGAATTTGGTTTGCAACTAACCAAGTCAAAAAAAAATTATGCAAAAATGAAAAACCTAAATATACGCTCGATGTCACATAAAAATAAAAGTTGTTTCACTGCAACACCAAAACGACCTTTCACTATTAAAATAAGAAAAAAATAAATAACAACAAACAACCACAAACACCTAAAGCATAAAAACAACAACAAAAGCAAACAATTTTAATCAGCACAGTCGTCAAGGTTGACTAGAGTAACCAAACGAAGCGATGGCGATGCTAAATGTCAAGCTTATTAAAAAGGGAATGCAGAAAATTAAGAAGGAGAGTGGAAAGAAAAGTACGCATTTAGTTGCATAGTGTGAACAATGCATATAAGTGGGTATAGTTGCCTTTACATACATATGAATGGGCAGCAAAGCGCAGAGGAGCTGCAAGAAATGTGAAATGTTTGCACAGAGTTTCCATATAGTACATACATAAGTATGTAATTACAACACGTGTCATAATACTAAGCGCACTACATATTGAGAGGTTTTAAAAATTTTTTGTTGTTATTTCATTTTAGCTATTTTTTTTTATAAAAATATGGTTTATGCTTTAACAAAAAAAGTTTCAAGCTTTGTGCAATATTAAAAAAATTTTACAAAATATAAAAAAATATAAAAATTTTGAGTATGCGGTTTTTTAGCTCATTCAATTTTAGTACAATGAATCGTCGAAGTAGCTAGGACTTACCGTTGATTTTGGCAAATTTTTTTGTTGAAGGAGTTGCCAATTTTTTGTTCCATATAAAAGAAAAATTTTGAAATACTTGAACAACACCGTTAGCACAAAAAAAAATGTAAAAAATCAACGTTAAGTCCTAGCTACTGCAAACTTGCACTAAAAACTAAATTTGTATGGACTACAAAACCGCATACCCAAAATTTTGCTAAAAAATCTAATTAAAACACTTTAAATTTTTGCGAAAGTTTGTTGATTTATTTTTAAATATTGCACACAGTTTGAATTTTATAAAAAAATAATTCAAATTAAACATCAAAAAATAAATTGTTAAAACTGGTCAATACGTGGTGCGCTTATATTTATGACACGAGGTGTATATACAATATGTATAAGTACATAATTGTTGAGTTGCAAGGTTAATTTTGAAGGGTGAGCCAGGGGTCCATATCTCAGCTCTTGGAATTTTCAGAAATACTGATTACGAAAATTTATTCAGTTAAGTTTGCGTTGTAACAGCCAATGGGAGCAAAAAAGAGTTGCATATGAAAATCATTTAGTTGGTAGATAGCTTGGACGAGTTTCATTTATAAAAAATAAAATAAAAAAAAAATTACAAAATTAAATTAAAACTAAAATAAAAGTTAAATTTGAGTAAAATTTCAATCTAAAAATTGCACTTAGCCGGCTGTAAAAATAAAAAACTTGTTTTTAGCTTATCCGCCAACTCTTTGAATATTGGCACACACGCGTTTGCGTGCACTCTCATTTAAGTGCAAGCGCACTTGAGTAACCAAATGTTTCCGGTATCTTGCATTGCCATACAATTTTTTCTGACTGTACTTATGTGTATGTAAATTTTTTGTAAATAATTATCCACAAAATAGTGCAACTTATATACATGGATATGATTGTATAAGTTTGCGTCTGTGCTTTTGAAAAGTGGGTGAAGTATGACAAATGCCGATGAAAAAATCATTTTACATTTACGACGGAAAATGTTGCAAACTGAGGAAAATGCGTGCCATAATGGTGTATTTATAATGCCATTAACGTTGAAAATAGAGTTATAGTAAATACATATGTTTAAAAATGAAATATTATGTGCACATCTAAAGTGGAGAAAGTTGGATTAAAAAAATTATGCAAGCGATGTGCCAGCCAAATGATTTGTAGAAAATGTGTGCAAAAATGAGGCTGAGGCAAAAGGTGTTGCGATATTTGTCGAAAAAAATTCAATTTTCTTTTAAATTTTAATAAATGCAAGAACATCCGGCCTTACCGACCGATTGGCACGTCTTAAGAACTAATCCTGACTGCGAAAGGCCAGAAACAGGTAAATAGTAACTGTCCAAAGTGTTCTACGCAGATCCGCATCCACAAAAAAAAAAACGCGAAATCTTTGCGTTTGTCTCTTTAAATTAAACAGATACATGTTGAATTTATCAGCCTGTATTGACTGTATTGACAGATATTGTAGACCTAGTTAGATAAGGTCTCGTTTGCAGGACAAAAAGATCGCTAGGGCTTTTGAGCATACAGTGACAGGTGTGGGAAACCTCACCTTAGCACCATAATATGCCTCTCTGTTCATTGAGTGAGCCTTTTAGGAATAGCCGTCTTCTTGTGACTCAACTTAGCTATTTACCATAAGTGAATCCTTCATTTGAAATCTTTGAAAAGTAATAAAAAATTATTTGTGAAAACTTGAAACTTCGAGTAATAGCCGTAGATGCAAGATCAAGGTTTGTGTGGACATTTGAAGTTAGTTAATTACAAAAAAAAACACAAATTTATTTTATGAACAAAAGCCCCGGCTTCAACTTCATTTAAAAATTACAAAATTTTTGTTACCAGCGAGAATAGACCTGTAAGGCATACCCTTTTCAGGTTATTAAGACTACCTAAAACCAAATTTTGCTAACTTTACCCTAAATCTACCGAAAAAACTAAAAAATTAAGAAAACAAAACGAAAAAAGCTAAGTTTGAACTTTTTTTGATAAAAGTTTTTGATTTATCAGGAACCAAATGGACATTTTTCGATGAAAATTTTTTGCGTCTGATTAAAATTTTTGTGAATTCAAATTTTTATACTTTTATTTTCTCAAACAAAATTTGGTTAAAAAATGATAGTTCATAATCACAACTTCTTCAATTTCACATAATTTTTCGTGAAACATATCTACTGAATTTTGTTCCGACAAAATTAAAATTGAATAACTCGAGAACTCAAAATTTTAAATAAAAAAAAAATAAATGTATGTATATAGTTGTTTAAGTAAAGTTTAGAGTTATTAGTCGATCATTGACAAAATTTCGCTATTTTTGTACAAAGATGAACCTGAAAAACTCTGAAAAATTCTCAAAAATTAAAAAAAATTCAGTTGCACTTACATTAATCAGGGACTAAATAACCATACATTGTTTGATGAAAATTTTTTTGTTTTACCATATTTTTTTCAAACAATGTAAAGTAAAAAATGTGAATTCATAACTAAACTGCCAAAACTTCACACATTTTTCTTGAGAAACATGTTAAATTTAAATAACTTGAAAATTCGAAATAAAAAATATTTAAGTTCTGCAAAAGGTGCGAAAGCTTCTAGATTGTTAAGGGCATTCAGCCATGAATTCGCATAACCCTTAGACATTTACGATACCAAAAACAATTCGGATCTACAAAATTCAAGCTAAGAAATCCCACTTAGAATATCTACCTACTTTAAAATCGTACAAGTTTTTGTATGTGGATACAACAACAATGTTTGTAAGTTTAAGCAAGCATGAGTAAAAAACTGGTAAAAAAAAAAATTATATTTTCAAATCAAAATCAAAATTGTAATATTTTTGGTATACATTCTTTGAAAAAACTGATATTTTCAAATCAAAATTACAAATTTAAAGATTTTGAGTAAAAATTGTATGAAAAGTTCTATAAAACGAACAATAATAAAAAAATTTAAATTATATATTTTGATTAATTAGAGGCTAGTAAACATATTTGATGAAAAAATTAAAGATTTATAAATTTTTTTTTGTTTTTTAATTATTTTTTTAAATTTTCCAATTTTTTTAATAACAAAAATTTGAATACCCATAATTGTTAATAAGTTAAAAGTAACAAAAACATAAAAATGTTAATTCATATTAGAAATTCTCACTTCACTCGATCCCGCAAGCGATAAACTAGAATAACTGGAAAGTCGAAATTTTTCTAAATAACATTTTAAAGTTCAGCAAAGGTTTCGATGTTTTCAAGGTTAGTCTGGGCTGATTTCCCACTATATATAGTTTATTTTTTTAATTTTAATATTTGTTTTGGTTTTTTGTTTAACAAATATTTATTTTCTTGCTTTTTAGCTCGTATGCTTAAATATTTTATAATTTTTTTTTTTAGGAAAATTTTAATTTTTGTTTTCGCCATTAACAAAAAATGTCGGCTATTATGAGTCGCTTCTAACCGCGATCTGCCAAAAATACAAGGCATAAAATTTACAGTAACAAAACCAAAACTCGCAGTGTTAAAATTCATGAAAACTCTAGAAATTTCAATGCTTTCCATACTGAAGAAAAAACCGTTGTTATTTTATCGAAAATGTACTCAAAAATCGATAGCATCCAACGTAGGATATCAACTTCAGTCATATTTTGCCTTTTTACTCTTTGCTATTTTTTCGACATTTAATATGTAATCACTTTTATTTTTTATCAAATTTTTTTTTTCCACACTCACCTGTTGCAGCAGCCACAGCTAAAATGACAAAAACTACTAAAAGTTTTGCCATTGTGTATTTATTTTCGTTTTATTTTGCGCGTTGTGTCTTTTTACTTGCGCTGAAGTTTTTTTGAAACACCAGCGATGATCACCGCAGCAACTAACTACGAACGGTATTCACGTTTCAACGCAAGAAATTGCAATAACTCGAAGCACACACAAACTTTCAGTGTTAAATGTTCAAGTGGGGCTCACGACGACGACGACAACGACGACAACGACGAGCGAGCAATAGTCTCACTACTAAATTATATATTACTTCAGTAGTAGAAGAAGCGGAGAGATCGTTTTAGTACAAAGCGCACTATAGCAAATTTGTCCTACCGATCACTAGCAGAGTTCCACTTACACTGCGCCAGCGCAACACCACAAAGATCGCAGCAACTGCCGCGAACAAGTAAATAAAGTAAGCAACCAACGTTTGAACGAGAAATGCTTAAACGCACGCACACACACGAACAGCGACAAAGATTAGCACACCCAGCCAGGAGCGGAGCAAAAAGGTGGATTTGAATATAACCAAATGATGGTGTGGTGTGGTGTGATGTACTATGCTGGTGTGTGGTGTCAACCTTCGAAATCACTGACGTCCACTACTTTTATTACAGAAAAATTAAATGCAAATGCCACCACAAACAATGCAACACCAATAGCAACAACACAGACACTTTATTTATAGACACAATCGTCGACAGCAGTGGTGAATACGTTGAACTCTTTTGCTTTTAGGGGGGTAGAGCGATTTTTATATATTTGAAGCTTTTAACTGCTCTTCACCATGCCCACTTGCAGGGGAATTTGTAGTTAATTAAGTTCCACACTTTTTGTACCACAATTCGTTATGCACTTTCAACACACCGTTGTATGCCGATCGTGTATTTCTCGCATTATTTAAATTTTTTTTGAATTGTGGAAAAAAATTCCTTTCAACTAAATTCAAAGCGTTTTTATTTTATTTTTTTTAATTAATTTGCAATAAAACGCGTTCGTCGCGAATTTTCTATAAAAATCTGTACGTGTCGCGGCGTGCCAGGCTAAGAGAGTGTCTGACACAACAACACGCTTTTATATTCAAACGCTTTTGGTATGCAGTCTGGTTGAGAATGGGCTGAGCAGCGCGCGTCTATGTTGAGTTTCTCTTGACATGGGTGTTGGCAAACAAATATTATATTCGCGTGGTAGGGGAAATGTGGGCCCATAGCGCGTTGGTGTCGCTTGGTGAAGGTTTGCTGGCTTGGCAAGAGAGGTGGGTTTTTGTGGTACGCATACATAACCACTACATGCTTGGGTGTGAGACGCATTTAATGTGGATTAGCTATTGTAAATGGCTTTCTGGTTATACCCCAAATGAAGTAATATAAAGTTTTTAACTACATTTTTGCGTAGAAGCTGCGTTTTAATTGCAGTAATTTAAAAACTTCTCGTAATATTTAGGGCATACACAAGTCTCGACCTAGCAAAATATTAAGAAATAACACACATGTTTAAATGAATATTTTTTTCAAGTTCTGCGTGAAAATTTTCAATTCAGTAAAAGAAGAATATGTATATGTAAAAGTAAACATCTCTATGTTAAAGTTGTTATTTTATTAAAAACGCTAACTGTATCAGCGAAAAGTTACACAAACAAAAAGTATTAATACGGCTGGTTAAAAATGGTTCTTCCAAGTTAATTTAATGCAATATGTAGCAAACAAGATTCGTCTGGCTTCACTTATAATGAAAAAAACAACATTTCTTTCTATCTCACTCCTCTTGCTTTTATGCAATCACATTCCAAACAAAAGACTTAAGCGCGAAACTTTATTGATCATAAACACCTTCTTTATTCAAATTCGCCATTGAATAATTTATTAAAAGAAAGGAGAGATTATATAATAAGATAAGAAATTAACACCACTAAACCAGTAAATATAACGAGATTTTTTTTTTAGATTATAATTAAAAACAGGTAGTATAAATCGGTACTATCTAAGTAAATGAAAAAAGAGAATTTTTAGAACGTGTCTTACCAAAATCAACACATACATACACAGTTATTTATTCTAAGCAATAATAGTTTTTGGTACATTTTTACTCATCAAACATTTATTTGTGACCTTGTTTTTGCCCGCAGCTCTACTCACGTGAAGTTCGTTTCAACGATACAATTTCAAATGTAACTAAAAAGAAAAAAAATATTACATATATCACCGAAATTCGAGAACATGATCAATGTGTAAAACTTCAACTAAATTGGCCAGTTCAGTATAAAATTAAACGTATATTTATATGCGTTCCTAGTCTTAATACAATATATAAGGATGGTCAAAAAAAAGTAAAGTCGGAATTTTAATGTTTTCACCGCCTGCGATTATTCTAATACCAAGCAGTTTATAAATCAATTTTTGAATATTAAACATCGCCAAAAAAATGCAAGGGAGGGGGGGGGGGGGAACCCAAAAAATTTCGTTGGTATAAAAAGAGGTAAACAAACAATTAGGTATTATTATTGGAAGCCTCCTGAATATAAACAGAGTTTTCCGATCGAAAAAGATTGATTTTCAAGTATTCTTTACCATTTATACGAAAAATGTTTTTTCCCCCCATAAATACACGGAAAACCGCTCAAGCTTTGAGCGACCTTTAAAGTTTTGTTGATTTCAAAATAAAAAAACGTGGTATATTTTTTCGTTTGATATAGAAAATCCTATGGTGTGAGAGCATTAAAATTCCGACTTAAATTTTTCTTGGACCAGTTAAATTATTTTTTAGGTGGCAATCCTTTTCGAAAATTTATCTGGATGAAGGCACATGTCAAATAAATTTGTTTAATAATAATAATAATAATATATTGATTAAAATTTGGAAAAAATGGAAAATCTTTTCTGTAACAAGTAATTTTTAAGAAAAAAACAAAACCGACTAATTTCCTCATGATCCAATGATCAGATTTAAACCAAATTAGTATGGGACCACCATTAGTAGGTACCGACTTTCCTTTAAAAAATAATTCTAGAAATCGACTAACGTGGTCCAAAGTTATGAGGTAACATGCATAAAAAAGTATTCCGACAAATTGAGGAGGTAACATTCAAACAAAAGATATTCCATTTGGTAAATGTAAATGAACATTAAATTTGATTTTTTAAACAGGTGGCACCTTCTTCAATATTATAATACGAGTATTTTATTGCATTCAATTTTAATTAAAAGCAAGTGGCAACCCTCTTCCAAATATTTTTGCAATACATACATAGTTCTTGAACTTGTTTCGTTTAATATTCATATTGTTGTAGTATATTAATCTAACCGTTTAAATTTAATTACACTTTAAACAGCTGGCAACTCCTTCAAAATATTTTCGCATTCAAGCTTTCTTAAATTTTTTATTTCATATGCATGTAGTAATATTGTATGTAATGTATGTAGTTTGCATTTAAACAGGTGGCAACCTTCTATAAAAATATCTTAAAAACAAACATTTCATCATGCACCTCTTTATATTGGCGCCCATCATATAACATTTTATTCAACTTAATCATTAAATTAAATTTGACTTTTATAAATGTGGCAACCCTCTTCAAGAATATTTTCAAAATAAATCCTTCTTAAATAAAGCTTTCTTTCACAAAATCATCACCAATAGTAGATCCTGATATATCTGCTTGTTTTGTTTGTATGTGTCCTTCGAGTGCTTTATGCCTAATAGCGGCTAGACCTGGGCATTCACAAAGGAAATGCTGAGCCAGTGACTTGTAATGGTTGCTACAATTCTAAATAATATTGCAGAGTGCCGTGGATTTTTTGCAAGTCTGTATATCCGACCACCTTTTCCTTGACAGTCCAACAAAATGGAAACCAATTTCTCTATGAGCGACTCCGAGGGGCCATCCCAGTGCGACAGCGTCGGATTGCTCCACGTAGGCTCCTGCCTTCTCATTGCCTACAATGTTCCTATGGCCGGAAACCCAGACAATAGAGATGCTTATTGACGCAGACACTGAGCATAATTCTGTTTTACACCTCTGAACTAGCTGGGGATTTTGTGATCGGTGATGCTAGTGCTAACAGAGACGCTTGGCAGTAAGTGTATATTGTTGCTTTCTTTATCCTTCCCATGCCTTTTCCTAGAACCTTACAGGCTTCAAAGATGCCTAAGACTTTCATTTGGAAGATAATCCCCTCGACGGAGAGACAAGGGACGCCGAGTTCCTCGGATTACACAGTCCATCTTCGAGGCGTACTTAGAGAGAAATTGCATCTTTGTCGCCCACTCTGCCACTCTGCCCCTCCTCCACTCTCTTCTGGTCTGGGTTTTTCAAACGGGTTTTTTTCTCAGAAGGCATTGAGGCGTCCATCGTAAAAATATTAGTACTCGTGCAAATAAGGCGAAAATACAGAAAAAGTTGCATTATAAGACATCTGGAGTATCCATTAGATCAGTTAAGTTTTTCTTTCGAGTTACATATGTAATTTTTAACCGAGTTCAAAAAAGGTGGAGGTATGTTATCGCATCACTTTGGACCACGTTGACCGATGGTGGTACTTCAGAGGTGATCCCATACTAATTTAGTTTAGATCCGATCATTGGATCATGAACAAATTAACGGTGCTCTTAAATGTTTATATGAGAATTGAATTCGGTTTGGTTTTTTGCTTAGAAACTACTATGTAGTTTTTTTTCATCGAAATATGCCTTAATTTTGGAGCTCATGAATCAAAATCTGCAACTCAAAATTTATTTTATTTTTTTTAATTTTTTGTAATTTTTCTCAGAAAGTTTGTAGAAAAATACCAAAATTTCATTTTGCACAGGATTGGGGTACTAAAGGAGATAAAGTTTGCTAAAATTTTTCTACGAAAGTTTATTTATTCCATGAAAAATTTATTGATTAAAAACAGCTAAAACATTGTTTAAAAAAAGCAACAAATCAATAGCAATATTATGAATCCCAACAAAGAAGTTCCTCGTAAAACCGCAAATACTTTACAGCTTAGCA